TGTTGAGAATGTAGAGGGAAACGGGCTTCACTTTGAGCCCCTTGTTTTCTTTAAGTACAGCGATCTGAGACACTTTAAAGTGGTATTTAGGTAGATATAATAGTAATCTATAGATGTGAATCCATTTGATGATACATCTGTGAGGTTTAAGTTGATTTTGACAGCCCGGGCCAAGTCGGACCAAACACTTCTAACAGGGATTTTCTTAAGAAAATACAGTAAAAATGCTTCACTTTGAGCCCCTTTGTTTTCTTTAAATACGATGTACCGTGACATTATAAAGTGGTATATAGGTAGATTTGATACTAATCTATAGATGTAAACACATTTGAAGATACATCTGTGCGTTTAAAGTAGATTTTGACCGCCCGGGCCAAGTCGGACCAAACACAAGCCAAACACTTCTGATAGAGACTATGTTGAGAATGTAGAGGGAAAGGGGCTTCACTTTGGGCCCCTTATTTTCTATAAATACTGCGATCTGTGAAATTATATAAAGTGGTATTTAGGTAGATATAACACTAATCTATAGATGTAATACATTTGATGATACATATGTGTGTTTAAAGTAGATTTTGACCGCCCGGGCCAAGTCCGTCCAAACACTTCTGATAGAGACTATGTTGAGAATGTAGAGGGAAAAGGGCTTCACTTTGAGCCCCTTGTTTCCTTTAATACGATGTACCGTGACATTAAAAAGTGGTATATAGGTAGATTTAATATTAATCTATAGATGTAAACACATTTCAAGATAGATTTTTGTGTTTATAGAAGATTTTGACAGTCCGGACCAAGTCGGACCTAACACAAGCCAAACACTTCTGATAGAGAGTATGTCTAGGATGTAGCGGGAAAAAGGGCTTCACTTTGAGCAACTTGTTTTCTTTAAAGACGATGTACTGATACATTATAAAGTGGTATATAGGTAGATATAACACTGATCTATAGATGTGAACACATTTGATTAAACTTCTATGTGTTTAAGTTGATTGTGACCGCCCGGGCGAAGTCGGACCGAACACAAGCTCCGACGTTCATACAGTTTGGCCCTCACTCTATGAAGGTTCATACTCCAATGAACTCACACAAAGTGAAGGTCAATTCTTAAATAAATTGATATTGCTTTATATCGAATTTCTTTCAGCTGGGAATTTCTCTGTATCCCTATGTGTGCAGATGAGGCACTTTATTCATGTAGGTCCTGGAATTCTTTTTCAGGTAACACTTGCAACAGATGATGACCTGGCAAAACTGTTTACAACTGTCCTTCGATGCTGTAACATCATGCCGGGCAGTAGAAAAGCAACCAGTCACTCGGGGAAAGAAACATACAGAGAAGTAAAAGAACTGAGTGATCTGACATCTTTCTTGTCGTTGAGTATGTCATGGTCCTAAGTCGCTTGCCCCTTTATTTCTGAAAATTGATGTGAGTACAAAGACCTTTGAATGCACCAAATAACATCAGAATGTTTTCAAATTGCCCTTCGCAAGAATTTATCCCACACTTGCAGAACAAACGGCCGGACGCTAATAGTGATGACATCTAACAACCGCACCAACACCCATAAGACGAGTTGGACCACCACGTACAACAGCAGTGTCTGAAGAAGTGTAGAAAATATTTTCATGACCAGAATTAAGTAGGAGTACTTACTTGTACATCGCACTCTATATATCATGTGTAAGTAATTTTAGTGTCGGTGTTACCTGTTACGACTAGAAAGATATCAAGTCCTGTCGTGGACAGATTTCAGCGGCCTTTAAAGGCAGGAAGTGGAACTTTCCGAAATGACTTTTCTTTTTGAGTACATGAACGTGTAAGGCTTGATCGTTCTTGGAGTTCTGCATGGGACTGTTTTCTAGAAAGCTGTCTGTGCCTATAAAAGAGCAACAAGAGGCTTTTTTCGACCCGACATGTTTCAGATCTACTTGCCAAGTGCGGTTTGGATACCTATTTGGAGTGAGTGAGTGAGTTTGGTTTTACGCCGCTTTTAGCAATATTCCAGCAATATCACGGCGGGGGTCACCAGAAATGGGCTTCACACATTGTACCAATGTCGGGATTCGAACCCGCGTCTTCGGCGTGACGAGCGAACGCTTTAACCACTAGGCTACCCGACCCGATTTAATGCAAAATTATGTTTTTTACCAAATCTCTCACAACTTCGGTTTGCAACAGATAAAAGACTCCTGTACCCATTCTTGGGTAGTAAAATGCATGGGGCTTGCATAAAAGTCAACTTTTGCATGGAATGCATGCTTTTCTGTAGCTGTTACGTTTTTGTTACTTGATTCAATACATGTACTACAATATTAAAAAAAAACAACTTTACTTCTTTTTTTTAAAATACACTAAAATATTGGTGTCACAGGAACTTTTGTTGTTTAGTATATTTACTCATTATTGATTATACATTCTGTGCGAACCAATTTATGGGTAAACAACCTCTGGGTTTCAATTTGGGAAAACAAAATCAATGCAATATATCAGCTGTTCTCATCCGTTTGTTTAACACACCACTCAGCAATAATCCAGCTGTATGAGGGCAGTTTGAAAATCGTGTTTGAACCAGACAATCCAGTGACTGACATCATGAGCATCGATCCTCACAAGTGGGATACGATGACATGCAATCAACAAGTCATCCCACCTGACCACCGATTCAGCTCTTATGACAAGCAAAGGCTTCTGGGAAGCTATATTCTCGCCCAGAATCCTCACAGGTGTATGTTGGGATTTGCTTGTAATGTGAAAGTCACACATGGTACAATATATGATGCACATTTTAGGTGTTCCCCACCCTTGACATTGATAGAATATGGCTCAAAGCTGCATACAACCAAACTCACTCACTCTTGTTAAGATTTTATCTTATGAGGTGACCCCTGAAGATCCGGGGTAGAAGAGGTCTTCAGCAACCCATGCTTGCCGTAAAAGGCGACTAACGGGATCAGGCTCGCTGACTTGGTTGATCCATGTCATTGATCCCAGTTGCATGAATCGATGCTCATGATATTAATCACTGGATTGTCTAGTCCAGACTCGATAATTTTCAGACCACCGTCATGTAGCTGGAATATTGCTGAGTGCGGCATTAAACAACAAACCAACCAACCAAATCTTATGAGGTACTTAGGTTACAAAGAACATAGAGGCATATGATTAAGACCAGGAAGATTTATTCACCAATAACACAAGAAGACATGCTGCCCACAATGATAGCGTCCTGCACAAACAGGACAAAAATATCATATCATAGATACAGGTGTGATGTGAAAAGAAAACTGAAATAGGCGTGGTATAACAAATGTTTCACCTCAAGAAGCACTAGTGAGAAATGTAACCATAGCTAAAAGTTTGTTAATATAAATACTTATTGTCCAGCTGCTACAACATGGGCACATTAATGAGACATAAATGTTTTAACATGTAGAGGACGGTTCCTTTGACAGTCACATACATTAAGAATGGTAACCTTACATAACAACTGGGAACACACAAAAACAAAATCACAATTTCCCACTGTTTGAATGAACAAGCACTTGAAGATAATAAATACTTACATAAGACCATCTACACTTCAAAACACATATATAATGCATGTAGATGTTTGGTTGGGAACAAGCACAAAGTTCTCGTATTGGTAGGAAAATTCTTTTGTAACAATAGAACTAGTTAAACAGTTACAGTACAATGCCGGGTGGGGTGGGGGATTGATTGCTTGGCAATGTCCTCATACGAATATTATTACTAACAAAGCCCTCGTGCTGCTTCACCCAAAGCCTTAAGGCACAGTATGTATACCAACACATACACTGTAAAACCCCACGCAGCCTTTATTTCATAAATCAGACCCCACGATTCATACGTGAATTAAGACACAAAATTTACTGCATTTTTAAAGCCTTTTCATTGCAGTAATCATTCTCTTCAGACCTCAATAAGACGCAAGTGTAATTCTAACATTCAGTGTGATGTTCTTCCTTTATTTCACCGACAGAATGATTCTATTGATATATATCGAAAACACACAATAAAAATATTCAAGTTAAAGAATAATGATGTCCAAATGGATTCTTTGAAAAATATTAACAATTGTAACATATTTATCGGCATAGTTATGCTAAGTTCAAGAAACTCATTGTAAGACCATTTTGCAGTTATCCTTGTACATGGTAGGATATAACCCCTTATATGGGTAATGTTCACCTAGCAGTTAATACAAGCATCTCCATTTCATAGAGCTGTTCAATGTATCAATATATTGTATCAATGGATAGTGAGACACGTCTAATCACAGACTTTGAGAAAAAGGGATATCTTCTGTGGGCAGCAACGAGAAGTAAATTTACCCCTTGACACCTCTATTCGCCAAATGACCAAAATATAAAAATAAATACACTTTTTGATTTATATTACAAACAGTATGGAATGTTGTTCTCTCCGGTGTGATCACATTTATGAGATTCAAAAAATTATTTTGAGTGACACACAAAAAATGTTTTGTACATATATAAAATACTTCAACAATATGGATTTCAACAAACATCGATATATGGAAAACTGCAAAGTATATACTTGTGAACAAAACATGACACTTGTGGATACAACTTTCCCAAAATGATGGACAAGCATTATCATAAATCAAATTTAGATAACATCCTCATTTCAAGACAAATACTGCATAGTACAAAGATATGATCGTCTGTCCATGACTCAACGAACACAGCTACATCATACACCAATCCCAGGTCATATGCTTCCTAATCATCCAGTCACTTTTGAAACCAATCTCATTAAAATCAGATCTTAGTTCTCGCTAACGCTAAACAAAGATCTGAGAACATCCCATTATGGGTCATGTCAGACCGACCTTGCGCGAACTTTGACCGACCAATGGAATGACCAATCAGAAGGCAGCTTTCTCGTGCTTTACGGCACTAATTTCAAATTGGCGACCACGTTTCGAAACATATTTTGACAAATTCTTGACTACAAATTTGAAACCTGAACAAAAGAACATTCTGGAATGGCTAATATATGGTCTTGATTGTATGGATACAGTCGTTAAACCCGTAACTATCGTTCGTAGTTAAAGATTTCGAGGCTGCATGATCAGAAATAACATTCCGGCTGTCACTTTAATAATCTGGTAAGCGATGCTCTGATTGTTCGGAAGAAAGGTCATTCTGACGTGACCTGTAATGGGATGTCCTCAGATCTTTGTTTAGCAGTAGCGAGAACTGAGGTCTGATTTTAATGAGATTGCTTTTGAAACATGAAATAGTGTTTATACACAGCTGGCTGAGATCAACTATTTGATACACAGAACACTACAGCTACAATGGATACCAGATATGAACCTCCCACGACAGTCAGTCCACAACGCCTGCTGCTGCCTCACTTTCTTGCTTCCTCAAAGTTGGCCACAAACCAATCACACGTTTCCTTTATCGCTGGAAAAAAAGTAACATTTATTTCAATTTTTGTTTTTTCAAAATGTGTTGGGCATGTAAATGTCTGAACCAGACAAACCAGTGATTGATAGTATGAGCAACTTCCCATGCCATCAGGGTACGATGACACACAATCTACCAAGTCACCAAACTTGACCACCCGATCCATATAGTTGCCAAGGGACCTGGAATGCCATTGACAGAGCTACAGATAAGCTGCGTATTTGCATAAAATACCCCCCCTCCAATAAAAATATTCAAAACCCAATTACTTTCAATTAAGTTGCGTACAGAAACGCACACATTAAATGAAAAACTCAAATGAATTCAAACAGCACGCATATATATCCAATGAAGCTTTTTCAGCATGCATACAATGGAGCTAATTTCCGAAACACAATTACGAGCTAATTTACTTTCCGATTCAAGCCTATATTTAGAACCGTTATATACATCTAAAACATTTCATTTTTTTTAAATCTCAAAATGTTTACTCATTTTGAGAAAACCCCAATAGAGTGATGAATAGATAAGTGAAAAAATATTGGTTACCCAATGAAAAATGTAATAACCCAATTAAAATTGGAGTAAAAACTCAATTGTTCAAAAAGTTATCTGGAGCTCTGCATTGGGCTCATTCAAATTGAGAAACAAACTTGATAATTCTGTGCAATACATACGTTCATGCTAGGCCTGGGACAAGTCCAAATTTACTACCCGGGTACCTACTCCCCTATTACCCGACCCTACCCGGGTACCGGCTGTAGATATCTAGAGATACAAGGTGTCTGATTGGGAATTGTTTTACCATAGCCCTGGCAAAACATTAAGATACATGTATTAAACAATCTGGTCATGCATACACTGAAGTTGACTTCAGTTATATCTTTATTCAACCATATGAAAAGTCAGAAGGAAATGTGCATAGTCAGAAAGAAATGCGAACATTAGTGACTTGTAGTGTAACCATACAGTTCTCGATAATCTTTGTCGTGAAACAATATATCACGTGACTAACCACATGTCCTGGTAGTCCGGGGGTACCCGGGTCCTACTCTGTAGCCACCTGACCCGGGTACCCAAGTTACCCGTCCAAGCCCTAGTCCTTGCCCTCATCATCTTTGCCAAATTCTCATTGAATTGCACAGATAGGTTATCTATTGGTTTGCTCTTATTTGAATATTTTGGTCAACATATTTTGATGGTGAAAACAGAGGTATGAAGCAATGTCATAAAAAAGACACATTTCTCTCTATCGCTGCAGAATAGATTGTCAAGTGGTCAAACAAAGATGTATATATATCTGTATTGTTTCAATAGAATACCTTACCTTGTTCTATAGGTGTGAACTTGAAATCTGGGAGGTACTTTCGGAGTTTGCCATTGCTGGCCGTCTTCTTAAATTGCCCATCAGACTTGGTCGTGTCATACTGTAACAGTGTGGTTAGTGCAATCAGTATGGGATGATCTTGGATGCCCTAGACTACAAGGTGACCTTGGATGCCATACATCATACAATGACCTAGACTACAGGGAGGTCTTGGGAGACTGAGTCCACAGTTCGATTAATGCTGCATTCAGCAATATGACAGCGGTCTGAAATGAGTCTAGTCTGGAATAGACAATCCTGTCTTTGATATCATGAGCATCAATCTATGCAAGTGGAATACAATGACATGCATCAGCCAAGTCAGTGAGCTTGAATACCTAATCAGGTTAGTCAACTCTTACGACAAGCATGGCTTGCTGAAGATCAATTCTAATGCTAACCTTGGACGTCAAATACGACAGGATGACTTTGGACACCCTTGACCATAGGATAACAAAGGCCAAAGATTGATCTTGGGATGAACTAGACTCCTTGATTACCATGACAAAATAATGAGCCATACCAGATTACAGGATGACAATGAATACATACAAGATGACCTTGACAATACAGTTTGTTTGTTTGTTGATTAACGCCACACTCAGCAATTTTCAGCTATACAGGATGACCCGGACTATATACAGGATGTCCCGGACTACATACAAGATGTCCCTGGCTACATACAGGATGACCCAGGCTACATACAGGATGACCCAGACTACATATAGGATGACCCGGACTACATACAGGATGATCCAGACTTCATACAGGATGTCCCTGGCTACATACAGAATGACCCGGACTACATACAGGATGTCCCTGGCTACATACAGAATGACCCAGACTACAAACAGGATGACCCAGACTACATACAGAATGACCCGGACTACATACAGGATGTCCCTGGCTACATACAGAATGACCCAGACTACATACAGGATGTCCCTGGCTATATACAGGATGACCCGGACTACATACAGAATGACCCTGACTACATACAGGATGACCCAGACTACATACAGGATGACCCAGACTACATACAGGATGACGAAGACTACATACAGGATGACGAAGACTACATACAGGATGTCCCTGGCTACATACAGAATGACCCGGACTACATACAGGATTTCCCTGGCTACATCCAGGATGACCCAGACTACATACAGGATGTCCCTGGCTACATACAGAATGACCCGGACTACATACAGGATGACCCTGACCAGCAACACTGGCAAAGCTGCCCAGAAGAGTGTTCTCACCTTGACCTCCCCCTTGAATTCCATGGCTTCAACAACCAGCTCAGCGGCTCTCTTGATGCTGATCTCGTCCTCCTCGCCAACTGAAACAACCACACTCAAACCCCTCAGATACACATGTATGTCGTGCCATCATTTTATAAAACCATTACACCATCAGCAGCCCCCATATATTCTGTGAGAACTATATGTCACACCATTAGGGCTGGAACAAGACCAAATGTACTATGCTGATACCCAACCCCATGTCACCTGACCCTACTAAGACCTGAGAGTCTTATTGTTATTACAAAGTAGACACAATTAATGGATAACAACTTCTTTAATTACTATGAAGGCGACGTTTCAGTATAGATCCTTATACCGTTGTCAACCATACCGAAATGCCGCCTTTACAGTAATTAAAGAAGTTGTTATCCACAAATTGTGTCTACTTTGTCACCCGTCAACTTCTAAGTAATGCCTATCAAACAAAACTTATTGTTATTGCTGCTAAATAATATATCACATGACTAACCATGGGTCCGGGTAGTACTGTTGGTACCCGGCAGGTCCAAATCAGTACCAGAGTATTCGAGTTACCCGTCACAACCCTACACACAAACTCAAACTACATAATCACAGTGGATATTGTAAGAGGGTGAGTGAGTGAGCTTAATGCCATTTTAACAATATTCCAGCAAGGTCAAGGAGCTGGACACCAGAAGAGGCTTCCACACATTGTGGGGAATTGAAACCCAGGACTATGCTGACAAACGGATGCATTAACCGCTTGGCTACCCCACAACCCCTAATTGGGTGAGGAAGTGAGTGAATATTGTTTTATTCCTAACGCTTGTCCAGGTAAACAAATGGCATTGGGTATGATGAGAAGATGTTTACCTACTAAGTAAGGCTGGGACAAAGTCCAAATTTACTTCCCAGGTACTCGACACCCTATTACCCAGCCCTACCCCGATACCCGCTATAGGTCTCAAGAGTTGGGTACAAAATGTCCGAATGGGAATTGTTTTACCGCAGCCCTGGCAAAAACTATTTAGATACACGTATAAAACAATATGATCATGCATACACTGCAGTTGATAGACGATTTATCCTTACTCGAACATATAAAAGTCAGAACGAATGCTTGCATAGTGAGAAGGAAATGTGAACATTAGCTATACTTGTAGTGTAACCATTGTTTCATTGTTAATGTCATTATAGTATATCACGTGACTAACCACGGGTCCGGGTAGACATGTGGGTATCCGGGTCCTACTCAGGACACACCCGACCTGAGTACCCAAGTTACCCGTCCCAGCCCTACTACTAAGTAGTGCCTGAATGATAAGAGTTAGGTTTACATCCCAGGATGTCAGCTTGACATGGTAGGAAAGTTACATCTTCGACATTTACCTATTTGGTGAAAAAAAAAATATTACCGAAATATATTGTTTTTCAAGTAGTGAACCTGTGACTTACCAGAAAGGATGATGGGATCTATTTCCTCATACTCGCGGAGAACCCAGACAAAGAGCCTGGCCAGGTCAAGGGAGTAGATGAACTGTCGGCGCGGGGAGCCTGTGCCCCACACAGTGAAGGGAGTGTTGTTCTCTGGGAAGCAGAAATAACTGAGTCAAACACACTCTCATACGCTATCGTCAATATTTCCACCTGAATTTAAAGTAATTATTTTCAGTCTTCTGCTGTTTGCAAGGGTTGAGCGAGTGAATGAATGAGTGAGTTGGGTATGGTGCTAACAAACCCAGAAACAAAATCAGGGCAAACTGGGATTCAAACCCCCAGTCATAGGTTTCTGGGTGCCCAATGAAAGCACCTTTGATGACTGGGCCACCTGTGCCCCTTGCAAAGTTTATAATATCCCTATCATCTAATGCTTTTTAACTACAACTACTCTTGATGATGAATCATGAACAACTTTTATTGTAAAACTCAGGGCCCAAATCAGTGTTAAACAAGGGAGACGAACTGTTTGACCAGGTAAGACTTAATATTGGAGCATGGAATGTCGACTCACTCTTTGCCATGTAGACTTTGTGCATGAGCCCCGGTAGTACATGGCCATCTTCCAGGTTGAAGTTGTCATAGGCACCGAACACATTGGTGGGGATCACAGATGTGAAATGGCAGCCATGCTGTGCGTGATAGGCTCTGAAATATCACAGTCATTGTTAAGGAGGACCTTGAGTCTTGAGTGCTGAACTTCTTCTTTCAAAATAAAGCATCACATCATGATCTAGTTCAATCTGAAGATAAATGTCTTGGTGAGTAAGTGTGTATGGTTTTACACCATTTTTAGCAATATTCCATTAGTACCACAGTCTGAAATGTTATTAGAGGCTGCAGAAACTGTCCTCAATATATATGTAGTAATACTAAATTGCAGCAAATGATTGAAGTGCTGGCATAATTTGAGAACTATCAGCAGCAACAAACTAGCGACGCCAGCATGAGCAAACAAAGCATTCCTTGGAATGTTTAGAGGTACCCCTTGAGATTCAAGTGTGCCACAGAGCACAACTAGGGATGTTCAGATGTGCCCATTGAGATTCATGTGTGCCACAGAGCACAACTAGGGATGTTCAGATGTGCCCATTGAGATTCATGTGTGCCACAGAGCACAACTAGGGATGTTCAGATGTGCCCATTGAGATTCAAGTGTGCCACAGAGCACAACTAGGGATGTTCAGATGTGCCCATTGAGATTCATGTGTGCCACAGAGCACAACTAGGGATGTTCAGATGTGCCCATTGAGATTCATGTGTGCCACAGAGCACACCTGGGGATGTTCAGATGTGCCCCTTGAGATTAAAGTGTGCCACAGAGCACACCTGGGGATGTTCAGATGTGCCCCTTGAGATTAAAGTGTGCCACAGAGCACACCTGGGGATGTTCAGATGTGCCCCTTGAGATTCAAGTGTGCCACAGAGCACACCTGGGGATGTCAGATGTGCCCCTTGAGATTCAAGTGTGCCACAGAGCACACCTGGGAATGTTTAGATGTGCCCCTTGAGATTCAAGTGTGCCACAGAGCACACCTGGGGATGTCAGATGTGCCCCTTGAGATTCATGTGTGCCACAGAGCACACCTGGGGATGTTCAGATGTGCCCCTTGAGATTCAAGTGTGCCACAGAGCACACCTGGGAATGTTTAGATGTGCCCCTTGAGATTCATGTGTGCCACAGAGCACACCTGGGGATGTTCAGATGTGCCCCTTGAGATTCAAGTGTGCCACAGAGCACACCTGGGGATGTTCAGATGTGCCCCTTGAGATTCAAGTGTGCCACAGAGCATGTGTGTCTATGAGTTTATTTGTGTGAGAGTTCACAGCCATTATGATCTTCTTGTCCTTCTTTCAACTGTCTGTTCGGGGTCAACTGGAAATTTCACTTCACACAACCTTTACTTACTTATTCTGAATGTCAATAAGACGTTTGGCATAAGAGTATCCAAAGTTGCTGTTATGTGGGGGGCCATTGTGAACCTGGAAGAAGAGAGAGAATTAGTCTCAGCATGCTACAAACACTCGAAGTGTACAACATATCATTGGGAACTCTTGCTGTTACCTCTATAGTTTAGCAAGCTATCAAGTGTAAAAATAATCTGTCATACAGACCCTGAAACAAATATATCCAAACCAGCCCATGCAAGTCTATGATATTTGCCATGTCTAGATTACTGCAGTTGCAGGAAGAAAGTCCCTGGGCACCTTTTTATAATATTTTATGACCATAATTTAACAACGTTTTTTTTCTTCTGTAAAATAGTACATTATAGAAACGAGATGATAGTCTAGTGCAACCCCTATTTTGCATGCTAGCTCAAAAACTAGTAGCCAATATTGCAGAGATACTTAGAACTCACCCTTGTCAGATCAAATGCGGAATTGGTCTACCATGCTTTCAATATTGTGGAAGGTGGTTCGTCTTACCATGGTTTCATCAATAGGGTAGGTTCAACAATAGATTAGAGGGTCCATCTTACCATGGTTTCATCAATGGGGTAGGTTCAACAATAGATTAGAGGGTCCATCTTACCATGGTTTCATCAATGGGGTAGGGAGTCAATCTTACCATGGTTTCAACAATAGGGTAGGGGGTCCATGTCACCATGGTTTCATCAATGGGGTAGGTTCAACAATAGGGTAGGGGGTCCGTCTTACCATGGTTTCATCAATGAGGTAGGTTCATCAATGGGGTAGGGGTCTGTCTTACCATGGTTTCATCAATGGGGTAGGGGGTCTGTCTTACCATGGTTTCATCAATGGGGTAGGGGGTCCATCTTACCATGGTTTCATCAATGGGGTAGGGCCAACAATAGGGTAGGGGTCCGTCTTACCATGGTTTCATCAATGGGGTAGGGGGTCCATCTTACCATGGTTTCATCAATGGGGTAGCGGTCTGTCTTACCATGGTTTCATCAATGGGGTATGTTGAACAATAGGGTAGGGGGTCTGTTTTACCATTGTTTCATCAATGGGGTGTGTTCAACAATAGGGTAGAGGGTCCGTCTTACCATGGTTTCATCAATGGGGTATGTTGAACAATAGGGTAGGGGTCTGTCTTACCATGGTTTCATCAATGGGGTAGGGGTCTGTCTTACCATGGTTTCATCAATGGGGTATGTTGAACAATAGGGTAGGGGGTCTGTCTTACCATGGTTTCATCACTGGGGTATGTTGAACAATAGGGTAGGGGGTCTGTCTTACCATGGTTTCATCAATGGGTATGTTGAACAATAGGGTAGGGGGTCTGTCTTACCATGGTTTCATCAATGGGTATGTTGAACAATAGGGTAGGGGGTCTGTCTTACCATGGTTTCATCAATGGGGTATGTTGAACAATAGGGAAGGGGGTCTGTCTTACCATGGTTTCATCGATGGGGTATGTTGAACAATAGGGAAGGGGGTCTGTCTTACCATGGTTTCATCAATGGGGTATGTTGAACAATAGGGTAGGGGATCTGTCTTACCATGGTTTCATCAATGGGTATGTTGAACAATAGGGTAGGGGGTCTGTCTTAACATGGTTTCATCAATGGGTATGTTGAACAATAGGGTAGGGGGTCTGTCTTACCATGGTTTCATCAATGGGTATGTTGAACAATAGGGAAGGGGGTCTGTCTTACCATGGTTTCATCAATGGGTATGTTGAACAATAGGGTAGGGGGGGTCTGTCTTACCATGGTTTCATCAATGGGGTAGGTTCAACAATAGGGTAGGGGGTCTGTCTTACCATGGTTTCATCAATGGGGTAGGTTCAACAATAGGGTAGGGGTTCCATCTTACCATGGTTTCATCAATGGGGTATGTTGAACAATAGGGTAGGGGTTCCATCTTACGATGGTTTCATCAATTGGGTAGGGGGTCCATCTTACCATTGTTTCATCAATGGGGTAGGGGGTCCGTCTTACCATGGTTTCATCAATGGGGTATGTTGAACAATAGGGTAGGGGGTCTGTCTTACCATGGTTTCATCAATTGGGTATGTTGAACAATAGGGTAGGGGTCTGACCTACCATGGTTTCATCAATGGGGTATGTTGAACAATAGGGTAGGGGGTCTGTCTTACCATGGTTTCATCAATGGGGTAGGGGGACCATCTTACCATTGTTTCATCAATGGGGTAGGGGGTCCGTCTTACCATTGTTTCATCAATGGGGTAGGTTCAACAATAGGGTAGGGGGTCCGTCTTACCATTGTTTCATCAATGAGGTAGGTTCAACAATAGGGTAGGGGGTCTGTCTTACCATTGTTTCATCAATGGGGTATGTTGAACAATAGGGTAGGGGGTCCGTCTTACCATGGTTTCATCAATGAGGTAGGTTCATTAATGGGGTAGGGGTCTGTCTTACCATGGTTTCATCAATGGGGTAGGGGGTCTGTCTTACCATGGTTTCATCAATGGGGTAGGGGTCTGTCTTACCATGGTTTCATCAATAGGGTAGGGGGTCCGTCTTACCATTGTTTCATCAATGGGGTAGGGGTCTGTCTTACCATGGTTTCATCAATGGGGTAGGGGTCTGTCTTACCATGGTTTCATCAATGGGGTAGGGGGTCTGTCTTACCATGGTTTCATCAATGGGGTATGTGGTTTTGTCAGGGAAGATACAGGTGGAGAGACAGGACACCACCTTCTTCACTCCATGTTTGTAGCTGGTGTTGAGGATGTTGTCATTGATCTTATTGTTCACCCGCTGGAACACAGAATATAACCGCAAAATGATCTTGGATGGGAAGATGTTGAAGATAGTAGCAATATGAAGATATTTCTGCCTGGATGCCTTTCTATTTCCACATTTATGAATAATTCATTTGGATTCCAGTTCATAAATATGACAAGCTTTATAACTAATGAATAGGAAATAAGTATGTATTTAAGGTGCCAAATTCTCAAATTCTCCCTGAAACAGAAGTAACAACAAATAAACAGAAAAGGTGACATTCATTTGCCAGGAGTGTGCAAAAATACACCAGTTTTACACAAAAGGGCATTCCCAAAGTGGTATCAGATAAAAATAGTTCCATCAGTACAGATTGCTTGCTCTGAGTTCATATCCTTGAGTGTTCTGTTGAGACCAAGGTTTCACTTGACTCAAAATATTGCATCCTATACACATTCAAATGACCTACATTGAGTAGGCGTGTCAGCTTAATGTGGGAGTAAAGCCCGAAGTGATGCAGGTCTCAGATGTTTACCACTTCGGTGAAAGCCACGAGCACGGGTATGCTGCTGACAAACCTAGAAACATAATCGGGGCAAACCGGGAAGACCCACAATCATAGGTTTCTGGCGTGCCCAAGGGACGCAACTCTGCACAGAAAATTGCGGCGCCTTAGATGACTGGGCCACCAACCTACATTAAAGAACTGTGGGGCTAACCAAAGTATGGCAATTTCAACTACTGAAAATGGAGATTGCATGGTACATAAAACTGACATTTAAATTCTGTTAAGTGAATGAAGGAGTATGGTATTAACCCGCTCTTAGCGATATTCCAACAATATCACGGAAGAGGACACCAGAAATGCCCTTCAAACATTGTACCCATGTGGGAAGTCCAACACTGGCCTTTGGCGTGATGAGCGAGTATTTCAGCCACTAGGCTACCACACCACCCCAAAATTCTGGTAAGAAATACATATATACTTCATGGTGTCAACAGTCTATTTTCTTCAAGCTTAATTTGAAATCCCAATCTATAATAGGCTTAAGCCTTCTGAGTATCTTCAAAATAGGACACAAGTGACATTTTTTTAAAATCAAGTGCAGCATGACACATGATGCAAGTCCCATGACTCGGAGACCACCAAAATGTAATACTGATGGTTCCCTGGACCTAAAAATAAATAGACCCAAAATAAATCCCTGCAAGAATGAACCTGAATTAGGGGAAAATACAAGCCTGACATACCAGAAAGTCAAGGTTGTACTTGAGGTTGCGGAACAAACCTCCAACAAGAGCTGCTAGATGGATGACGTGGGTTGGTTTGATCTTCTCAAACAAGGCTTCCGTCGCTGCAACGTCTCTGAAAATAATCCTTCGTGCACTCAGTACTGCTAGCTGCTAAAGAATGGCACAAGAAAAAATCTAACCTTCTTCATAAATATAAAGGTGAGGTGCAACATTGCGTTCAAGATTATTGCATTTATATAGCGACGTGCATGCACTTGTGTGTGGCTGCTGGTGCTAGTCCGGACTGATACCGATTTATGGTGCTAGCCCACAGAGATGCCATTCCGCAGTTTAACATGAATACACCAATCAGACACAGTATGCGGACTCCAAGCCAACCAGTCCTTAATGCTAAGTGCCAGGCAGAGTAACAACAAGTACCAAATCTTTTGGTTTGACATGGCAGGGGATCAAAACCCAGACATTCCGTCCCTGGGTGGACACTCTACCACTAGACCACAGAAGTGGTCACATAAATTTACACAACTTAATGAAGCCCACAATTCAAATGGTGAGTTAGTGTTGGATTTTATAGTCAAGGTAAACTGGGATTCCAACCCAAGATCATAAGTTTCTGGCTTGCAAACTTTGCCCCCCCACTATTCAAATAGACTGATGTACTCACGAAAGATCAGCATCTTTTGAAGACACAAAGTGCCACTCTTCGTCATCCCTTTTCAGTTCAGCAGTGGCAACTGTCTCAATGGCCTTGCCCACCAGACCTGTGCCTCCTGTGACCATCACTACTTTCTTCTCTGTTGCCATGGTTACTTGTGTCTACAAAATTTGTGCAAAGGCGATAAAGAATGTCCACCTTACAAATTTACCTCACGTTCTGGACCATCAACAACTTTCCCTGTCAATGTTTACCTCACGTTCTGGACCATCAACAACTTTCCCCGCCAATGTTTACCTCACGTTCTGGACCATCAACAACTTTCCCTGTCAATGTTTACCTCACATTCTGGACAATCAACAACTTTCCCCGTCAATGTTTACCTCACATTCTGGACCATCAACAAGTTTCCCTGTCAATGTTTACCTCACGTTCTGGACCATCAGCAACTTTCCCTGTCAATGTTTACCTCACGTTCTGGACCATCAACAACTTTCCCCGTCAATGTTTACCTCACGTTCTGGACCATCAACAACTTTCCTTGTCAATGTTTACCTTACGTTCTGGACCATCAACAACTTTCCCCGTCAATGTTTACCAGACAGTGTAATTACATAATTATTTTGCATACTTCAGTATGGTTTTGTTGACATGGTATTCCCCGTGTTTCGTGCTCACGGTAATGTCTTTCCATGGGGGAAAAAAACATCCAAACTCATAATTCGTGTATAATGCGCACCCCCTTCTACACAGCTGTGTTTTTTCGAAAAATAAGTGCGCACTATACTCAAGAAAATACGGTACCTCACGTTCTGGACCATCAACAACTTTCCTTGTCCATGTTCACCTCACATTCTGGACCATCAACAACTTTCCCCATCGATGTTTCCCTCACTTTCTGGACCATCAACAACTTTCCATGTCAATGTTTACCTCACTTTCTGGACCATCAACAACTTTCCCTGTCAATGTTTACCTCACTTTCTGGACCATCAACAATTTTCCCTGTCAATGTTTACCTCACTTTCTGGACCATCAACAACTTTCCCTGTCAATGTTTACCTCACGTTCTGGAACATCAACAACTTTCCCTGTCAATGTTTACCTCATGTTCTGGACCATCAACAACTTTCCCCATCGATGTTTACATCATGTTCTGGACCATCAACAACTTTCCCCGTCCATGTTTACCTCACTTTCTGGAACATCAACAACTTTCCCTGTCAATGTTAACCTTACGTTCTGGACCATCAACAACTTTCCCTGTCCATGTTTACCTCACGTTCTGGACCATCAACAACTTTCCCTGTCCATGTTTACCTCACGTTCTGGACCATCAACAACTTTCCCTGTCAATGTTTACCTTACTTTCTGGACCATCAACAAGTTTCCCTGTCAATGTTTACCTCACGTTCTGGACCATCAACAACTTTCCCTGTCAATGTTTACCTCACATTCTGGACCATCAACAACTTTCCCCGCCGATGTTTACCTTACGTTCTGAACCATCAACAACTTTCCCCGTCAATGTTTACCTCACATTCTGGACCATCAACAACTTTCCCTGTCAATGTTTACCTCACGTTCTGGACCATCAACAAGTTTCCCCGTCGATGTTTACCTCACGCTCTGGACCATCAACAACTTTCCCTGTCAATGTTTACCTCACGTTCTGGACCATCAACAAGTTTCCCCGTCGATGTTTACCTCACGCTCTGGACCATCAACAACTATCCCTGTCAATGTTTACCTCACGTTCTGTGTTTCACTTGATCAATCAGCATCAAGCTACTTTATATAAGCTTGATTGATTACTAGAAATCAAAACAAAGTCTTCATTTGACTCGTGTATTCAGAACCATGCTACATCCGGTTACAACGCATTACGTCACAGGGAGGTAATTCCCGTGCTATATATAGATTGTATTTATAAGGGAATTCCACATGCACCAACACCAGAAACATATGGACTGAGATTCTACTCAGTAGCACAGTCCACGATTCTACCCAGTAACAATGGACTGAGATACTACCTAGTAACAATGGACTGAGATTCAACCCAGTTATATATGGACAGAGATATTACCCAGTAACACGGTACATGATTCTACCCAGTAACAATGGACTGAGATTCAACCCAGTTATATATGGACAGAGATATTACCCAGTAACACAGTACATGATTCTACCCAGTAACAATGGACTGAGATACTACCTAGTAACAATGGACTGAGATTCAACACAGTAATATATGGACAGAGATATTACCCAGTAACACAGTACATGATTCTACCCAGTAACAATGGACTGAGATACTACCTAGTAACAATGGACTGAGATTCAACCCAGTAATATATGGACAGAGATATTACCCAGTAACACTGTACATGATTCTACCCAGTAACAATGGACTAAGATTCTACACAGTAACAACTTTATGGACTAAGATACTATACTAGCCACATTAAGAAACTGTGCACGGAGAAAATATAGATATAAGGGCACACCGTCCATATATGAAATATAGGTTTGAACACAGCAATTATTGGAGACATTCAAACGCTCATGCACGTGCCATGCGATATGACGTCATTGATGGGGGCCTATGGACGTGCAATGTGTTACTGCACGTGCATCCTGTGCAGCTGTACACAGCATGTGCAACTCAAAATTTGCTGTCACTTTGGAAAGCATGATCTGTGGTCATCCAAAAATTCAAAACTTCTCAGGCGCAGACACAAGCATATCACAAGCAAATCATGCCAAGATTGACAGCTGCACAGCGTCATGAAGCCATTGGAATGATCCGGGCAGGAATGAGGCAACAACAGGTGGCAACACATTTCCAATGCCATCGTAACACGATATCGGCATTGGTGAGGCGTTATCAGAACACAAATGACGTTGCGAACCACCCACGTTCAGGACGTCCCCAAGTAACGACGCCAAGACAGGACAGATGGATTCGAGTTACACAACTCCGACACAGGTTCCAAAAGGCAGTAACGACTTCCCAGACAATTCCTGGACTGTACCGTATCCATCCCAACACAGTCAGGAATCGTTTACGTCAGTAGGACGCCCTGCCATACGTCCCATCCTGACACACCGTCATCGAGTCAACCGTCTAAGATGGTGTCGAAAACATGTTCGCCAACCTCGAATATGGTGGAGAAATGTTGTCTTTACAGATGAATCGAGGTTCAACATTTCCCACAATGACGGGCGCCAACGTGTCTACCGGCGTTTGGGAGAACGTTATGCACGCAACTGTATTGTGGAGAGGAATCGTTTTGGAGGTGGCTCTGTGATGATTTGGGGTGGGATAACAGCACGGCACCGAACCCCTTTGGTGGTTGTTCAGGGCAATCTCACCGGTGTTGGCTACAGAGATCAGATTCTGAGGCCTGTGGTCATTCCTTTCCTGCAACGTCATGGCCCGGGATTGACATTTCAACAGGACAACGCTCGTCCTCACACGGCTAGGGTCGCAATGGATTTCCTTCACCATAACAATGTCATGTTACTGCCATGGCCTGCAATTTCTCCAGATCTCTCCCCAATAGAGCATGTGTGGGATGAAATGGAGCGCCGTCTGCGTCGTCTTCCACATCCTCCAGATAACGTCTGTGACTTGGCACAGGATTTGAGGAGGATATGGCAGGCCATTCCCCAGGCCTCATGCCCATTTGGTGGACTCCATGCGTCGCCGATGCACTGCTGTGATTCACGCACAGGGTGGTCATACCCGTTATTGACTTTGTGACTTTGTCGTATGACCCCCTACTGCATTTTGATCTTCTGACGTCATCGTAACAGATGTTGTTCAGGTCCCGTTGACATTTTCTGATGGTCCGATCATTCAACTGCTACAGCGTCTGCATCATTTTGTTCTTGCTGTGTTGTATTTCAATCCAGAATATATTTTCTCCGTGCACAGTTTCTTTATGTGGCTAGTATATATACAGTAACATATCGACAGAGATACTTTTTTTTATTTAATGTTTAACACCACACTCAGCAATATTCCAGCTATATGACAGCGGTCTGTCAATGATCAAGTCTGGACCATACAATCCTGTGATTGACAACACAAGCATAGATCCACGAAATTTGGATCGATGACATGCATCAACCAAGACAGCGAGCCTGACCACCTGTCAGTCGCCTCTTTCGACAACCATAGTCGCTTTTGACTGCAAGCATGGGTTGGTGAAGACCTATATACTAGATTCTACCCCGGATCTTCACGGGTCGTTTCAGCACGGACTTGTATAATAGGCCGTATATATATAGGTCCGTGGTTTCAGTAAAGATGTAACTTCAGTCGACTTAAGTACCTGTATGATCTAAACGTTTTATACGTGTATGTAAATAACGTTTGCCAGGGCTCGGGTAAAACAATTCCCAATTGGAAATTATGTACCCAATTCTTGAGACCTACAGTGGGTACGCGGGTAGGGTCGGGTAGTGGGTGGGGTCGGGTAGTGGTTGGGGTCGAGTACCCGGGTCGTAAATTTGGACTGTCCCAGCCCTAAAATTTCGATCCACTTATCATACTAGTTGCCAATATAACCACTCCCACTTGTATGGGTAATATCTTTAAAATTCCATCTGCCAAAACTCTAAAAGGAACGCTATGGAACACATTAGCAGTAAGACACAGAATAACATCCACAAGCTTACCTGTGCCACGCTGACTACCGGTCACTGAAGGGAAAGAATTTGACACGTGATCATACACGCACACTGATAGGTCCCTGGCGGAAACATCCGAAGCAAATGAAACAAGGGGTCGTCTCAAGATATGTATAGTTATTTTCCCAATCTTTATCACGCTACCATTCTTACATGCTTGATATATCGGGTAATTTTTATCATGTGTTTAATGTTATACACTGGAAAAAAATCCAAAGCGTGAATCCGGAGCGTGCATCCATGCCTATTTATTGACTGAGTAAACAGTATGTTGTACCATTATCTTGTTTTGTTCCATTTATGAACTTCAATTCATAAACTGATGTTTCAAATTGCTTCTGAATTCAAAATTTAGAATTATGCAATATATCGTGATATGTAGCGCAATACGGCCTTGTGCATCGTAAAATATTGTGATACATTTTAAAACTCCCATACCCATCACAAGTAATAACATCATGTTATTTTCTTGAAACTTGACTGAATGTACTATGATTAAATGTTTTTGTACATGAAGTCTTTGATGTGAATTTAGAAGTTGCAAGAACATGTTTTTGTGTGATTATTTTATTTGGTAAGAAAGCCGGATCAACGCTTGTTTTATTTTGCACGAATATGACGTCGGTCTGTAGTGCTTTAATCAGAAACAATATTAGTGAATAATAGAATTGCGGCGTCCCAGACGAGTGGGCCACCCATGTCCCCAAGAAAATGATGAGGAGTGGTTATAACAAAGGTTGTTATTTTAATTAATGTGTCACACTTTGCATTTACAGTGTATATAATCAGACTTATAAGGCTTACTGGACACAAATCTACATGAAATATAAAATACCACTAAAATAATATATATTCATACACTCTTCAAAAAACGAAACGCATAGTTAAAAAATAAGGATATTTATTAAGCGGATGTAAAAGTATCTACACAGAATATGCGTGAACACAATCAAATGAAACTAGACACAGTGATCGACATAAGCATTGTCGTCATTGTCAGCATTAATTCAGTTCAGTCGTTAGACATGGGTAGCCACAAGGGGGCGTCATGATCAGTACCTGGTCACACCACCTCTTGCAGGCGTCACTGCTCGACACCTCCTTGGCACAGATTGCACAAGTCGTCTTTTTTTATCGTGGGGAATTCTTCGGCGAGTTGTGCCAGTGTGTGGGGACGCTGGTAACGTTGACGGACGCGTCGATCAAGTTTGTCCCACAAATGTTCAATCGGGAAGGACATTGATGTTCTCATTAACAAGCAAATTAACTGTTGCACGTGCTGTGTGGGGCCGAGCGTTGTCATGTTGGAACAGCTCCCTCTGGCGGTCCAAAGTTGGGAGGAGGTGAGGACGCAGAATTTGGTCTATTTCGGCGCAAAACGTTCACGTCGACATCGGTATACACGTGAAGAAGAAGACGTGACTCATCGCTGAACCAAACGCGTCGCCAGTTCCTGAGATCCCATGCCTGTACTCTGTTGCACCACCGGACACGTCGTTGGCGGTGTAGACGTCGCAAGGCAGGTCCAACTTTTGGTCGTCTCGCTCGAATTCCCACTTCCCTCAGACGATTTCTGATGGTTTGGTCGGAAATTCTTCGCATACCAGTCACTTGTCCTGCAGTGTCCGTTGCTGTAGCAAATCGATTCCAAAGGTGATGCAACCGGATGTACCGATCCTGAGCAGGCAGTGCCGTCGCCAGCCGGGGGGGGGGGGGGGGGGGGGGTATTTTTTTTATATAGAAAACAGTTTTATTTGAATCATGAAAATACAAGTTGGGGACAAGTGATACTTGTACAATGTTAGCCCCCCAAATGTAAAAAAAAGTTAACTACGGCCTTGACAGGGGTGGTCACTCTTGGTCTTCCACTTCTGGGATGATCTTGAGTCGAATTAGTGCGGGTATATCGATCCCATAGTCGAGATATGGTGCTTTGGTGAACGTTGAAGTGTCTTGCAACGGCAGACTGGGACTCCCCTGCTTCCAAACGTCCAATGGCAATATTTCGGTCAGCTGCAGTTAATCTTGGCATTTTTCGATCTCCGTTCACGTCAGAAAATTCGTAATGAACTGATGAATTTTGTACGGTCTTTTATAGTCAGTGTCTCTACTCGTGTTTCCAACATTTTGCACGTGCATTGTGCTGAAAACATTTTCTGAAAGCAATTTCCGTGCATCCTGCATTTTTGCTGATAAACGTTTACAAAAAAAACATTTTGAGATGTGTTTGCGCGCAATGCACAGCAAACATGACATGATTAATGGGAATCAAACATAAGAATAGTCTTTATGACGATTGCTTGGGAAAAAAAACTAATTGGAATTCTCAAAACACCTATGCGTTTCCCTTTTTAAGAGTGTATATTCACACAAAATGATTAACCAATTGAATAAATAACAATTGAGATAAAATAATGAATTAATCATATCGTAATTATGTCGCTTTTTCGTCTCGTCTCGTTTCGTCTCGTCTTATCGCTTTCTCGCGGCCGTAATTGAAGGCGAGAAAGCCATGTCCCCACTCGGCCATTGTACGTAGTGCGAAGAAGCGCAGTATTTAGGAAGAATCAATTCTACGTGTGTACCATCTTCCCGAGGCAAGAGAGTTAACTGACTTTAAAAGTCCAGTTTCCACCCTTGCCGAACTAGGCTGGAATTCCTGGGCTCGATTGTAGCGCCACCAGTGGTTATTACGGGTTACGCCCTTCTAAGCCTCTCATATGGACCAATCCGATTCTGTCATTTGCATTTGGCGGCGCCCATCAAGATCATTAAGATCTATATTGTGATAAAACGGGTCTTACATCGCGAAGTACATCAATTCACGCAAACCCCGATAAAAAACATGAAAAGGTTTGGAAAATATCAGTTGACAACGAGTTGGCGGTGCACATACTTTGCAAATCCTGCAATCGACCGAAATCTGCACGACAGTTTACGAACCGGATTTCGATTTCGTTGCTCGATTTTGATTGGACAATGCATGGACTCGTTAGTCCAGCCAAAATGTAACTCCATAATACCAGCCGAGTTCGGCAAGGGGGAAAACTTGACTTTGCCTCGGGAAGATGCGTGTGTACATGGTGTCGAGAGATGTGGTTTGGAATTGCGAAAAAAGATCATCAATCATTGTATGAGAGAATTTATCAATACGTTCCATAGATGAAGCACATGTTGCCTTAGTTGTGAGGCGATCAGAGGAACGAAGTCATCCGTATGCTGTAAAGTGGACTCGGTCAAGATGTTCCACACTCGTGTGTCCACTAATCAGTCAGGGGCGGTCAGATTGCCTACTGGTTAAAGCGTTCGCTCGTCACGCCGAAGACCCGGGTTCGATTCCCGACATGGGAACAATGTATGAAGCCCATTTCTGGTGTCCCCCGCCGCCCCCCACCACTCATCGTATTTCACTTCAAGCACCGCCTCATATACTCCTCTTCAGGTACTTCCTCATACTCCCCTCCAAGCACTATATTCCTCTTCAAGCCAAGCACCGGCTTATATTTCTCTTCAGGTACTTCCCCATACTCCCCTCCAAACACTATATTCCTCTTCAAGCCAAGCACCGCCTTTTATTTCTCTTCAGATACTTCCTCATACTCCCCTCCAAGCACTATATTCCTCTTCAAGCCAAGCACCGCCTTATATTTCTCTTCAGGTACTTCCTCATACTCCCCTCCAAGCACTTTATTCCTCTTCAAGCCAAGCACCGCCTTATATTTCTCTTCAGGTACTTCCTCATACTCCCCTCCAAGCACTATATTCCTCTTCAAGCCAAGCACCGGCTTATACTCTCTTCGGGTACTGCCCCTTACTCCCCTCCAAGCACTTTATTCCTCTTCAAGCCAAGCACCGCCTTATATTTCTCTTCAGGTACTTCCTCATACTCCCCTCCAAGCACTATATTCCTCTTCAAGCCAAGCACCGGCTTATACTCTCTTCGGGTACTTCCCCTTACTCCCCTCCAAGCACTTTATTCCTCTTCAAGCCAAGCACCGCCTTATATTTCTCTTCAGGTACACCTCATATTATTCTTCAAGCAGCTTCTCATATTCCTTTGAAAGCAGTCTTCATATTCCCCTTCAGCAACCACCTCATACATCTTCTTCAAGATAACTTGATGAGTGGTTAAATCGTTCGCTTGATACGTGGAAGGCTCGAGTTCCAATGCCGACATGGGTGCAATGTCCGAAGCCCATTCCTGATGTTCCCGTTGTGATATTGCTGGAATATTGCTAAAATGGCGTACAACCATACTCACTCACGCACTTATCTTCAAACACTTCCCTTCTCTTGCACACATTTATGTTCCTATTCAAGCACCTACTCATATTCGTCTTCAAGCATCTCCTCAATTTTACATCTCCAAACTTTTCCTCCCAACTTCTCATTCAACTACGTCCCCCTCAATCATTGAGCCCGCAATCAGTTGCAGAGATCTGTGCTTCTTGGTTTGTCAGCTCTATTGAATTGGTCAATTGTTCTTTTTTATGGTAATTTTCGATAAAATAATCTTTAAACAACCATGACGACAAGTATCAGTCATCACGTCAGTTTATCAGCCGAAATACCTTATTTATTTCGAAAATATATATTGCCACAAAAGTCGTTCTTCTGATTACCCTACGACAGGAAGAACACCAAAGAAGAAAAAAATATTAGGCGTGGCCTCATGAAAAATGTATAAAAGAATTAAAAAAAAATCATAATCTTTGCGCTCTGACTTCCTCTTTGAAATAGTTAGGGAGTCTATGTAATTCTAATATTGACTACCATTATAAGTTTAATTTGTTTTCAAGTTATAGAAACCGGGCCCCGATTGAAAAAAAAAGAAATTATTAAGTTTTATACACCCCCCCTTGTAAGAAAGGAGGTATATTATTGCAAGCTCCTCACAGCGGAGCCCGTTCGCCCGTTCGCGGAGCTCTCTATACAACCGAGAGTGTAACGAAGGTGTCACGCGCTGGGAAAGAGCTTGATGTGAAGGGGAGATAAGTCAGAAATCAAAATGGCAGTCACAGGTGCTGTGCTGAGATCTGCCTACACTCAATTTTCAAGGATATTATCTGCACAAGGTTTAAGATCAGGTATTAAATGGCTTCTATGTGTATTTTTTCGCATGTGAAGTTCTCACACTCGTTGCTTTATCATGGTTTTAAATGAATGGCATTACTATGAGTGATAATTAGGACGTGAAATCATGATCGCTATTTTCACTAATATAGCCTGATACACAGGTCTAGTCCGTATTGACCGACTAGAAGTATAACACTGCATAACGCAGCTGTTATAAGAGGGCCTTTATAAGTATATTAATATGCATTTGAAATATTTTGTCATTTTGCTCACAACCTGTTACCAGAGACCATTTTATGCATACATGTATATCGTTTTTTGGCAACAATGCAGTTTACCGGGCGCAACCGAGCTCTACCATCCGCTAAATTACCGCGCTATAGTGCCACCGCTGTCTCGGTATACCGTTATCTTGCCTCATGCTCTGGTGACTCTCGCTTCAGGATCCAACCCCCGTTTTCGGTCTTAGGGAAACTTACACATCTTTACGATCCAACACCTGTTTTCGGTCTTAGGGAAACTTACATGTCTTTACGATCCAACACCTGTTTTCGGTCTTAGGGAAACTTACATGTCTTTACGATCCAACACCTGTTTTCGGTCTTAGGGAAACTTACATGTCTTTACGATCTAACACCCCTTTTCGGTCCTTAGGGTTAGCTTGCTTTGTGCAAGGGTTAGCCATAAATTCTTACCTTTTCAAGCATTAATCCGGTTAATCCCATTGGTCGGTCATGTTGACATAAACAATGGCAGGTGTGGTTTCAAGAAAAGATGAATGGGAGAGCGGACCGTGACGTCACATGCATGCGCAGTTCATTGTTTACGGAATTACGCATGCATGTTAATGGGGATTCTAATGACCCGTTAAACGAGCACTGATAACATGTGATAGCGCCTGTGGTCCAGTGGTAGAGCGTCAGCCAATTAACACTTTAATTAGCAGAGCCGGTGAGCAGGCGAAGCGCGTTCGAGCCCCCACAGCGCTAATTGGAACTGAAAAAGTGCGCCCCATAAAGTGCACTACTCCCCGTTTTTTTACCCACGTGGTAAAGAAACAGATGGTAAGATACTAAATCCGTAACGGGTTGTCGTACAAGGTTAGCAATCTCATGAAAGCGACACATTTACACACTTTACTAAACCAAACAAGATAGTCACACGCAACAACTTCGCTTTGCATTCTGTATTAGTTATGCACAGAGCTACTACAGACTTAATATAATCGAGCTATATCCATTTGCAATGTACTAGGGCCCACTACCGATCGATTGATCAAGGGTCCCTATGATCGTGACGCACCCAACCACACTCTTAGACTTTCAATTTTATTTAACATAAAATGATAAGCATGGTGAAATGAAGTCAGTTTTAACTATCTGGATATATATCTGGACTTATGAATGCTGTGGTTGTGCCATCAGTGTCCCCTTTGTATTGTGTGGCATTGTTTCCTGATTGGTTTTTGTTCATGAATAAACATTCACAACTGCACGACCAGATCACTCAAAGTGAACAGTTCCGATACAAATCATTTAAATACTCTGTGGAAGTGTGCCTGACTTATGATTTTGTCGCCCAGAAAATCCCAAATGCCAACAATAACATTCCCTAGCGTAAAACGCTGCGAGTAGATCAAGGTTGTCTTTTCTTATTCCGATGGTGACCTTGCCCTTCGTTTGAAGCTGTCACTGACATGAAAGCAGACTTGAGTTTGTTGATTTTAACATTTCTGATCTGTAAACCAAAGAAAGTTTTTATGTATTTACTCTTAAATACATATTTTGACATGGGTAATAAATAAAATACCACACTAATTCTCGTAAGACACCATTTTTACGAATCTCATGAACTTTCTATGGTATCTGACCAAACGCTTTCGCCTGGTCAGATGCCATAGAAAGTCCACTCGTTTCGTAAAAATGATATCTAACAAGAATGAGTGTAGTATTTTCTTGGATGTTCTCTGCTGTGACCGAACAAAATTCAATTTACAATAGACATACTTAGGCAGAACTCCAGGACCCACGTGTACAATGTAATCTTAGCGCTACGACTTTCTTAAGTCCATGTTAGAGTAGGCCTACAGAGTTCTGCCTAAGTATGTCTATTGTGAATCGAATTTAGTTTGAACCGATTGCACAGTGCGCTAAACTGGTTCCTTGAACGCTTACGCACTCGGTCGCACTTTGTCCCTTCCCGCAGCCCAAAAATGCTCGGTCCATACACCCCCCCTCAGAGAACATGATATCCATGTTATCAGAATGTTGTAAGTGTACCAATCTCATTAAAATCAGACCTTAGTTCTCGCTACCGCTAAACAAAGATCTGAGGACATCCCATTACGGGTCACGTCAGACCGACCTTGCGCGAACTTTGACCGACCAATGGAATGACCAATCAGGAGGAAGCTTTCTCGTGCTTTAAGGCACTAATTTCAAATTGGCGACTACGCTTCAAAACATATTTTGACAAATTCTCGATTACAAATTTGAAAGCTAAACAAAAGCACATTTGGAATGGCTAATAGATGGTCTAGATTGTATGGATTCAGTCGTTAAACCCGTAACCATCGTTCGGAATACCCCGTGTTAAAGTTTTCGAAATTGCATGATTAGAAATCACATTCCGACTGTCACTTTCATAATCTGGTAAGCGACGCTCTGATTGGTCGGATGAAAGGTTGTTCTGACGTGACCCCTAATGGGATGTCCTCAGATCTTTGTTTAGAGGTAGCGAAAGCTAAGGCCTGATTTTAATGAGATTGACAAGCAGACCTCCCAGAGAATGCTCGTCCACTAAGGAGACGGATACTCCTGCTGTGACTTACTTTGTCTGCTATTTATTATGTCAGACATGACACAAATAGTCAAATTTTAACAAAGATTTATTTATAATGAACAAGTACTAATTAATATCTCTTTTTCATTTTAAACAATATTTTTTCGAATTGTGTCATATTGTTGTATGAGATGCATTTCAGTGTGTTATATAAGAAACAAGCATACACTGTGTATATTCCAAGATAACGGCTCCAAATAACTTTTTGAGCAATTGAGTTTTTACTCTAGGGTTTCTATTTTAATTGGGTTATTACATTTTTCATTGGGTAACCAATAATCTTTCACTCATTGATTAATCACTCTATTGGGTTTTTCCCAACATGAGTGAACATTTTAAGATTTTGAAAAAAACGAAATAATGTTTTAGATGTATATAGCTGTTCTTAATATATAGGCTTGACTCGAAAAGTAAGTTAGCTCGTAATTGTGTTTCTGAAATTTGCTCCTTTGTACGCATGCTGAAAAAGCTTCATTGGGTATTTACGTGAGCTATTTTTATGCATTTGAGTTTTTCATTTAAAGCATGTGTTTCTGTACACAAGTTAATTGAAAGTAATTGGGTTTTGAATATTTTAGGGGTATTTTACTTATATTCTGATTTTATTTGCCTTGTTCTTCATTGTTCTTGAACTATGTCCTTCCACAGTTGTTCTAATGTGATTTGTCGCCCGCATTGTCACATAATACGGCTTATGGAAAACTTTAGGTTTTTGCATTTTTGAGGAAACGTATTAAAATTAGTTTTAATGTTGAGTTTCAAAGAAGCAATGATCCACATATGTTAAGTAAATGTCTAAACTTTCTTTCTTCCGACTCATGTTTCTCATATGAACTTTGAAGCAAGATCACATCAAATGTGATGACAGAGTGAATGGTTGTTGCCAAGGATGTGTGGACCAAGTATTTCACACTTATGTGTTTGATACTTATTTACCGATTATGTTTCTAGGTTTATCAGCACCATACTCGTGCTCGAGGGTTTCAAAGAAGTGGTAAATGTCTGAGACCTGCATCACTTCGGGCTTTTCTCCCACATTAAGCTGACACGCCGTGATATAACTGGAATAATGTTAAAAGCGGCGTTAAACCAAACTCACTCACTCACTACATATTTCAGAGCCCCTCAGATCAGTGTTTGTGACTGTAACCTGAATAGTATTCAGTACTATTTACATGCCAGGTTATGATATAATTGCTGTACAATTTACACACAACATTCCAGCTTCTGGAATACTCCTCTTTGTCATTATTTGGACTTTATAACTTTTCAGGGCAAAAGGAAGTTGCAGGTTTGAGATGCCCCCTGACATGCATCAGTGTACATCTGAGAAGTCAGCAGTTTGGTGGCACCTGTGGGAGAATGTTTTCTAATTCTTCAAGTAGTGCCACAAGCAGGTCGGTATTTATGTTGAGTATCTTTTGTTATTGATAAAAGGGAAAAGATGTGATACTTTATAAGGATAATAACTGTAATGATCGGGGGTCGGGGAGGAGGTGGATGATTGGATGATTCAATGTCATGAATCATTCCGCAAAATTGTTCTTGTCATCATGTTTAAATTAGATTAACCTTTTTCACCATATCATCAAGGCTGACTGAAGTGTGAGTTTATGAATCAACAGAGGATGTGCACACTGATATAAACTTTAATTCGCTTCAACGTGCTTCAAGAAAATAACACATTGAAGTATTGTAAGGCTGGCTTGTTTATAAAATGTCAACTGTTCAATGAAGATTTAGGACCCATGAAGATCAGGGTAGAGAATATGTCTTCAACAACACATGCTTGCCATAAGAGGCGACTAAAACAGGATCGGGTGGTCAGACTTGCTGACTAGGTTGATGCATAGATCGATGCTCATGATGTCAATCACTGGATTGTCTTGTCCAGACTCAATTATTTACAGATAGCTGTCATATAGCTGGAATATTGCTGAGCGTGGTGTCAAACACCAAACAAACAATGCATATTTAGAAACTATCAAATGAGTCCATGTTGCAGCCCAGCTGCTGAGCTGAGCACACGCCCAGAGTGGAGTCTGGCTGCTACTAACAGTAAAGGTACGACAGGGACGAGAGAGATACACCATGCATGCTTGTTATAGTGTGAAGCAAATAAGACATGACATAATTTATCATAAATGTGATCATCCTGTTATTTTGAATATGACCTTCATTAGAAATTAGAAACTGATCATCCATGGGTATTCTAGGTTAGAATGGGTCCCCAGCAACCGATGCAAACAAAATTAAATTGATCAGTCCTGTTTCAGTAATGGGGGTACCATTTTGGCATATGAATTGGTCTTGAGCTGAGAAATTAAATTATTCTTGATATTTAATAGTTCAGGTGTATACGACTCTTATACAGACCCTAATTAAAAACCATTCTGATTATTGTTGACGGAAATCTTTTGTCTTCACAGATATCATTAGTAACATTGAATCAAAGCTGGGGAGTGCCGACCTGGGACGTCTGTTTGCTGTTGTTCATGTTGGAGGAAAACAGCGCAAAGTGACGTCTGAAGACATCATCATTGTAGAGCACAATTTCCCTCCAACGGTTGGAGACAAGATCAGGCTGGAGAAGGTGGGGGAGTGTTTATGTATCATTGTAAAACGTCTCACTAATTCATGCTGGTCAAGGCCATTAGTAGAAGCAAATCTCGGCCCTGAGTCTGTGCACTGTGTCTAAGTGGGGTGTCCATATTAAATTGTGTTGTGGTATCTCCAAGGGCTTGCACTATTAAACCGGCACTTGTCCGGACTAGAACAAGCAGCCACACACACGCTGCTGTGTAAGTGCTATGATCTTGAACGCAACATAAAGCCTCATTTTACCTCACCTTGTTCAGTTGTTGTGTGAGAAACGTTCATGATTTACTGACTAATATCATGGCAAGTTGATGGACATTGGTATCTCTTGCTCTTTCAACCTTAGGGGTAGAAAATGTCTGTCTTAATATATACTACTCAAAAGAAGTTAAGGATCACCTGATTCTTCCATATTACAATAGTTAATCTCTCATGCCATGACAGATTAACATTACCAATATGAAAGAATCGGGTGATCCTTAACTTCTTTTGAGTAGTATATATCCTACAGCACTAACAATGAGTATTTACGGATGAAATGCCAGTTGCTTGTCTTGTGCTTAATGACAACTTGTACAGAGAAGCATTGCATCATGGGTAACTGAGCTGATAATTGTGGGAATGTGCATATAGTGATGGTGGTTGTGAAGTGTGTGCTGCAATCTGAGTGTTTAAAAAATGTTATATGGGATTTGGATCCTGGAAATATTTCCAAATTTTTACTGCAAATGAACACTTTTCATGTATCTTTTTTTTTGTCAGTCCAAAATAAGAAAACTCATGCCATTCTGCTTAACGAAATGAATTCCAGTATGTTATCATGTTTGTTTCACAAGTGAGAGAGTTCACACAGAGAGAGAGAGTGCTGCAGAAATTTACTGATAACTTTTGTATTGAACCATGATGACAAACAGTATATAATTTGCTTGTGTCAATGCAATTTAACAGTCCCCGCCTGATGCTGTTAGTTCCAAATGAAATTTCCAGACATGAAATACTCAGTAACACATGTCAGTCTGAAGACACATGATGTTTACCATACTCCTAAGTGAACACGATGAAGCATGAACTGTTTGGAAGACACAAATGTTGCTTTCCTTATCGGATTACCTCCCTTTGACCACATGTTTATTCTGTTTGCTCTCTGTATCAGGTGTTGATGGTTGGCAGTAAAGACTTCACCATGGTCGGTCGTCCAGTGCTCAGGTGGGTGTCCCCACACAAATCTCACCATACCATTCATATCGTTATCCTTGAGTCCAAAACACTTCTTACTGTGATACTTAATTTGTGGAACCATGAATATCCGGGGTAGAATAGGTCTTCAGCAACCATTGCATGTCGTAAGAGGCGACTAACGGGACCGGGTGGTCAGTCTCTCAGACTTGGTTAATGCATGTCATCATATCCCAACTGCGTGGATCGATGCTCATGATACAATCACTGGATTGTCTGGTCGAAACTCAATTATTTACAGACTGCCATCATAAGGCTGGAATATTGATGAGTGCAGCTTTAAACAACAAACAAACTTAATTTGTGCCATTTTCGTGTATTTGCACATGGTTTCATGTGGCCCTGCTGACAAGTACTGTTACAGCAATGCTGGAATGTGCATGCCTATGTACATCTTCCCAAAGCAAGAGAGTTAACTGACTTAAAAAGTCAAGTTTCCACCCTTGCCAAACTAGGCTGGAATTCCTGGGCTCGATCGTAGCGCCACCAGTGGCTATTATGAGTTATGTCCTTTCTATGCCTCTCCTATTGACCAATCAGATTCAACCTCTCGTATCACTTGCATTTGCTTCAAACAAAACGGTGGCGCCCAGTCAAGACGATCTGATTGATAATCAAGATCTATATTGTGATAAACCATGTCTTACATCGCGAAGTGCATCTAATCACGTGAGCACCTTGATTTAAAGCATGAAAAGATTAGGCAATACATGCTTTGCAAATCCTGCAGTCGACCGAAATCTGCATGACACTTTACGAACCGGATTTCGATTTCGGTGTGCGATTTTGATTGGACTATGCATAGACTCGTTTGTCCAGCCTAAATGTAACTCCATAATACCAGCCTAGTTTGGCAAGGGTGGAAACTGGACTTTTATAGTCAGTTAACTCACTTGCCTCAGGAAGATGGCCTATGTATAATACTGTGATTCTCCTTTCCAGCCGAGAGCAAGTCTATGTGGAGGCCACCGTTGTGGAGAAGACACTCTCTCACTTCAAAACCATCTTCAACTATGTGAAGACAAAGGGGCATCGCAAATATAAATGTAAGAAGTTTTCTGTAGGAAGTATAGTACTCCATATAGTCAATACCAAAGATGTCAACAGCACTATGTGGAGTTGTGTCCCTTGGCAGCAAGGATCCGCTGATTTAAGGGTTCAAATCCAGATAATGACCTTTTGTCTGTCCACCCAATACCCATCCGTGTGGTACTTTCAAGGGCATCTTTGTTTGTTGAATGGGGACATCCAGGTTCTGACCTGGCCACATGAAAGTCCTGGGCACTGTTCCACAAAGCCATCTAAAGCCTATGTGAAAGTATGGCAGTTATGAATATCTTAGTGCTAAGATCACTTTATGAAATGGAATTGAACATCAGTGGTTGAACTTGGAGGTCGTGTGTGCCAATATTCTGTAGCACCTCACAATCTGGGAACTGTAGATTCGGGCGAGAATTGGTCCCTCAGCAACCCATGCTAACTTGGTTGATACATATCATCGTATCCCAAATGTGTAGATCGATACTCATGACATCAATCACTGGATTATCTTGCCCAGATTTGATTATTTACATATGGCTGGAATATTGAGGGTGGTGTAATACAACTACATTAAACTTTCATGCCAATCCTTGAACAGATGTGTCTATATGTTTATGACAACCCAATATTTCAATCAACTATTTCAGTGAAGCGAAATGAACAGACACTGCTCGTCATCAATAACATCCAGCTGAGGCAGATCACCTCCTGAAACCATGGAAACAGGAACAGCATCCAGCAAATATTCTGCATGTATTTGAAGCGAATGTGACCATGTCTGTCCCCCATACATTTACAAACTGACATAAAGAAATGTGTTGTGTCGTCTAAGTGATATGTGTTCTCCTGCCCAAAGTGTTACATGCCATGAGACCCGTGAAGGTCCGGGGTAGAACAGGTCTTCAGCAACCCGTACTTGCCCTAAAAGGCGATTATGCTTGTCGTAATAGGTGACTAACAGGATCGGGTGGTCGGGATCGGGTGGTCAGGCTCGGTGACTTGGTTGATGCATGTCATCATATCCCAATTGCGTGGTTCGATGCTCATGTCAATCACTGGATTGTCTGGATCAGACTCGATTATTTACAAATAGCAATGATATAGCTGGAATATTGCTGATTTTCGGCGTTAAATAAAAACAACAGCATATTGCCATGATCTGGGATATGAATGTAACATTGCTGACAACAACATGCACTCACTCAGTTACATGCAAGTCGTGCAGGTAGGCCCTTTTACAATTACTTCAAGTGCAGGATTTTGTCGTGCTGACACGACAACAGTATTTGCTTGTCTGAGTTGATTACAGAAGTGAGAGGCAGGGGACTGTAGAACCCACAGCAGACACATTTATACTCTAGGTTGGATAATAATTGCTTCTCAGGCAGTCACCATGGAAACCTGGAAGTGAGTTTGCAGCCTATTTTGAATTGTTTGAGTGTGAATTATTTGTATTAAAGCATAAATAATGTGTGTTTTGTATGTATCTGGTGACAACCATTTTTTTTGTTTTAGCCTTATCATAATGCATATAATAGTGAGTGAGTGAGTGTGGTTTTATGTCGCTTTTAGCAATATTCCAGCAATATCACGGCGGGGGACACCAGAAATGGGCTTCACACATTGTACCCATGTTGGGAATCAAACCCGGGTCTTCGGCGTGACAAGCGAACGCTTTAACCACTAGGCTACCCGACCGCCCCAATGCATATAATAAGGCTGATCAACTTAAACAAATGTTAAGCCTTTCTTAGTGTTTGTTTTGATTTATTAAATGCGTTTACATTTGCTTGTTGTCATGACAATGCAGCTGAACCTCTTCATGGTTGATGTTGATACTGTGTCAATGATAGGGGCCTGGTTTAAGAAAGGTGTTGAGAAACCTGATATTACTCCAAAATGAAGAGCCATTGGCTCTTGTAAATGACTCAGCAATTTGCACGACTAGGTGATGATAATATCAATATTAAATGATGCCAAAATGATGTAATGGAATAAATGGATGACTGAATGTGGATTTACATCATTACTGTCTAAGTTTCTACAGGAAATAAACGAAGTGTTCATGGAGAGATGTCCTTAATGTCTTTGTCTTGGTGGTGATACCTTATAATCTGCAAACAAAAAAGAAATTCAAAAGTGATTTTAGAGGTATGTTTATATGTGAAGACTCATATAAATAATCAACATATAGTAATTGATTGTTCAGAATTGGCACACATCATTGTCATTGACCCAGATTCCATATGGAACACATGGAACAGTAGATTTTCAAGGTGAAAGTCATTTGTTGTCAATATCTTGTATGGCTGGCCACCATTAGTGACCAAACGTGATTGGCATCGTCATCCCATGGAAGCAGTCAGATCACGAATTGTGGCCATGGCAGGACCTGGATGTTGTGATTCCTGAAAAAGTCTGCTGTCTGTCTTGCCGTGTGAGGTCCGGTGTCTCGTTGGAAAATGATGTTCACTTGTTGCATATTGGGAAGGACATGTGGCCGAAAATCTCATCCATGTAACGTTATACTGTTAATTTCCCCAGAACTTGCCCCAAGTCTGTTCTACCAGTGTTAGAGATGGCTACCCACATCATCACACTACCACCACTAAATCTGTCCACTTCAAGTATGCAGTTTCGTGCATAACGATTGCGCGAAGCCTGTAAATACCATCTGCACAGCGAAGCATAAACGTGACTCCTCACGGTATCGTTTTCCAAACTTGTCTCCAGTGCAGTTGGGCCATATTCTGTGACCTTGACACCATTGACGTAGCAGCCGACGATGCAGGTCTATCAAAATGAGACGACTCGAACTGGTCGTCAAGCGCGAATACCTTCAGCGCTGGTTCGTAGCTGTCGGGGCGATATACTACGCAATCTTGGTAGTGCCCTAGTCATAGGCATGGCCTGGTGGTTCTTTCACGATGTTACATATCAGTAGCGTGTGAATATGTCCTGTGCTCTAGTAGTGAAGCATATGGTCGACCGGAGCTGGGAAGGTCACGTGTTGTCATGTTTGTTTGATAACAGTTCCACGGTCTTGTAATAGTACTTGGTGCTACATGGGAAAAAAATTGGCTACAGCTGAAGATCATTCTCCTGTTTGCAGTCGGATGATGGCGTTGCCTTGGGCTTTCGTCAGTTGTGGCATGTTTTCGCTGTTCACTTACAGTAAGATAGTGATGACATGCAAATATAAACCCAACGTTTTTTATAGACAAAAAACTGATGTTGCACGTGCATGTCATGTTCATGTGTTTCGACGCCAGGCTCACACGTATAGTTTTTTTTCTCGATTTTTCCTTCTTTCGCCAAATTTCTGCGGTACCTCATTCTTTCCACACAAACAATCACAATCTATGCAGAACTGATCAATTGACATTACCATCGATCTACGCATTTGGATACGATGATGTGCCTGAACCAAGTCACCAAGCCTTACCATCGATCCGAGCAGTCGCCTCTTACGACCAGTATAAGTTGCTGGGACCTGTACACTGCCGAAAAGTATAAAGAAAGGCCTCGGCCCACTGAGGCGGAGACTTTAACGCAGACTGTCCCAGTTTAGCCCAGTTGACTTCAGATATAAAGGCGAAGTAGATTTTTTCTTAACCCATGAGTTAGTTAAGAAATAAACTACTCAACATTATGTACAGCCTCTTTAATGATGGTAATAAAATGTACAAGCTTTAAAAATATTTACTCGTATATTTATGTACTCCCTCCATACAATGCAAGCACAAAGGTCTGATTTTTAATGAGATTGAGATTACTAAAAATGTCCCATGAAGGCCATGACAAGTTAATTATTAGTTCTTGGGAATCATTTACTCAATGGCTTTGTTGGTGCTGTGATATTCGGATGGACATTTAAAACCTGACCGGGGCGGTCGGGTAGCCTAGTGGTTAAAGCGTTCGCTCGTCACGCCGAAGACCCGGGTTCGATTCCCGACATGGGTACAATGTGTGAAGCCCATTTCTGGTGTCATCCGCCGTGATATTGCTGGAATATTGCTAAAAGCGGCGTAAAACCATACTCGGTCACTCACTAATACCTGACCACAGAAATCAAACTCTTTTAAAATCAATTGATGTATAAACCTTGTCTCAGAGACGGCGAAGGTTGGGATAGGTGCTACAGGGCACCAACACCACTACTATCACCATGTGCTGACCTGACACATGGTGCCTGTTGTATATCTGTATATAGTATCTACCTGTATACAGTAAAAACGTGTATATATACCACAAGCCACCCACCTGGCGTGATGTTATTACTCCCTTTACCGAGAACCGTACACAAAAGACGTACATAGATCTATGTACGTCGGTGTGTACACCCACCCCTTGCGTATAGGATCAGTTACAAAATAGTGACAATATTGAAAGTACAAGCCAGACCCACTACACTCCCTTTTATAGGCAAAACGCAGCCATTACGAAAGAAGAAATGTTAGAAGCTAATATTCAGCCCAGTTGTGAAGAATATCATGGTTCAAAATTGGAATAGCTCTTAACGCTTTGCAGAGGATTGTAGACGACGCAAAGCACTTACCAAGCCTCTATTTTCCCCTCTATCACGTTTTGAAGATGTCGTTGACGCCATAAATAGGCAACAGCCATGCCAGCATTTGAGTGTCCCAGATTGTGCTAGTGATGTTTCGCAAATACCACTCCATCCAGATACAAAACCCATGGTGTTTTCGAATGGAATCGCCTCCCATTCGGTCTCAAAAATGCCCCTATAGCATTTCTGAAAACCATTTCATGCACCAAAAGAAATGAATTAGCGTAACATATTAATATATATAAGCTTCTGAAAAGGGACGCGTTTTTCGAATGGTCCAAGAATTGCCAACAGGCATTCGGAAAGCTAAACCAAGTCCTTACAACAGCCCCAGTCCTTGCATATCCCCACCAAAACTAACCCTTCATCCTCACAACTGATGCACCTCAAATTAAACTGCAATAGGGTACATTTTAGGCCAACTTGATTCTCGTGGCATAACTTGTAATGGTGTTGTTAATTCATATCTTTTAACAATACAAGTATCTTCCTTGACATTGGTCCTGTTCTGTTTTTAGGAACAAACCATGTTGGTTGGTAACGTTTCTTTTGCTGTTTTAGTTTAGGTTATTGTGATAAACTCTTGTTATTTATATATGTTTATGTTGTATTTTAATTCCAAGTGAGGGTAAATGATGCAAAATGGTCATTTAACATCACAGTTAACAACTGCTTCAGAGCCGGACAAGCGGTGTGAATAACCTTGTCCAAGGATACAACACAGTGACTTGCATGGCATGACCTCTTCAAAAGGAAGATTTGAAATGATTATTAATAAATAAGGGTTTCGGGCTTAGTGTCTCTCATGGTTATATCTCTCTGTCAAAGATACTCTGTCTTGATGAGGATGGTCATATTGCGGTCGAGATTTTTTTTTATTGAGGCTGAGTTATCGAATGGTCCACCCCTAACAAACATTAGTGTGCCTCAAAGTGAGATTGACCAATCAGGGAGCAGAACTACTGTACCCAAGGTGGTTGTTACTCACCTAATACGCGCGTTGTAACAACAAACAACAACAAACTATAGATACAATGTTCATGTTATATCAGCGAGTGTTAGGCAGACGCAGGGGACTGTAATTACAAGGTGTATATGAGTGAGTGAGTTGGGTTTAACGCCGCTTTTAACAGTATTCCAGTCATATCGCGGCGTATCAGCTTAATGTGGGAGGAAATCTTCGGTGAAACCCACGAGCACAGGTATGGTGCTGACAAACTTAGAAACATAATCGGGGCGAACCGGGATTCGAACCCACAATCATAGGTTCCAGATGTGCCCAAGGGACGCAACTCTGCACAGGGAATCGCGGCGCCTTTGACGACTGCATGGGCCACTCGTGCCAGGTGTATATGAAGACATTCAGCTAAACTGTACACCAGACTACAGTCACATGCATGTGCATAACAGTACATATATGA